CAAACCAACAGATAAAAGTCTTTAACAGCAAAGGAACAGAATCTGCACAGCAGGTAAACTCATTGATGTCCTTTTTAGTCATGTTTATGCCGCATTACAAATTATCATCAGTTGAAATATTTGCAGTCCTTGATGATTTGCATTTGGCTTATTTTTTTTTTTTTTCAAATGATCAGTCCCATGTTATCATATTTAAGTGGTATAAATAGATGTAGGTGTAATATATAGTTGTTTAAGGCCCAATCTAACGTCCTTCCAAAGGCCGAATATTTTGCATTTATTGTTAGAAAACCAGACTGTTTTTATCCAAATGTTTTATTGCACATAATTAAAACAAAACGCTAATAAATCTACAGAACCAGAACAACCATTAAGTTCCTCAGTGCAGGTTAACAACGTAGAAGACTGGGACGCCTCAGCTTAGACGTGCCGATCCGTTTCCCGCTCTCCAGAGGTATCTGCCTGCTTCCTGAGGACGTATAGGTCGATATTTTCTTCACCCAAACTGCATCTTTGCTTTGACCCAATTACAGATTAACCATTCAAAGTGCCGTATAAATAATTAATAGCTAAAAACCTTTAACTATTGTAATAAATATTCCTGGTTTCTAAGTTATAACATCAATACGACATCATTTACTACGAGTTTTTAGGCAACAGAAACGAGGTCCATTTATTTCACTGGATCTAATTCTTGAAGTTCTGTGTAAATTATAAAGTTTACGGATAAAATGTAATATAAATGGAGCAAAGTGGAACCACAGAGGGAGACTACAAGGTTCTGACATCCAGAGAAAATTTAATTTATAGTTCATCACATCACAAAGCAGCAACCAGTGGGACAGAGGCGGAGCGAGCATGAAGGCGCTTTTGAGGCGGCGGGATGGCGGCGGCCAGCGGGAGGGTGACTGACGGCGCTGAGAGTCATTTCTGTGGAAAGGGTGGGACCTGATGGTGGAGGCACACCGGGGGCTCCTCCACCCGCCTGGCGCCCTTTGTCATACCACCTCCTCTCTTCCTCTCTCCACCACCTTCTGCTGGAGGCCCCTGTTGTAGTGGCCCCGCCGTGGCCCCCCTCCTCGACTTCTGGGTCGGCTGTCCCAGTGCTGCTGTGGAGGTCCAGAGGAGGGCCGGTAGGGGCCCCTTCTTCTCCCTCGGTGGCCCCTACCGCCTCCATCGTTTGGGCCTTCGGTTTCAGCAGCTGACAGGTGATTGGGGGAAACCTGCTTCTCTGGTTCCGGACCCGTCCTCGGCTGGAAGGACTCTGGGCCTCTTTGCATGGGTCGACCACAGTCTTCCAGAACTTTGATGGTCTTTGATCGATCGGCGCAGTCTGGTGACAGAGAGAGATGCCCCAGCTGCTCCGTGATGGGGGCACTTCGCCCAGGATGGGGTTTGGGCCTCCCTCCTCTTCTCGGTCCCCTCGCCTGGTTCTGACGCCGCTGAGAAGGAAGGCCTCTAAACTGCGAAGGTTCGGGGACAGGATGTTCTGTTCGGACGCCAGATGCATACGCAGAAGAGGAAACTGGGGGCCCGACTACCCCATCGACCTCAGGGTTCCCGATCTCAGCCACAGGAGGGACCTGAAGGAAACAGCAGGGATCAGAAACTCCATGAAACTCACCTCTACCTGCATGTTCAGAGAAGGAAAGTTACATCATAAGGTGTTTTTCAGTCACTGCCTTAAAATAAAGGTAACGCTTTCTTATACAGTACAAAAGCAGGGCTCCTACAGCATAAGGCAAGTTAAATTCTAGACTTTTTAATGCCACTTGAAATAAAAATTTAAGACCAAATTCACAAGAAACACAAGAAAAACCTGCTTGC